GGACCTACAGGAAATCCATGCCGTTTTGGGGTCATTGCTGAGGAAGCGCCCCAGGGCATCCTGAATTTCCTACMTGTACCCTAATCAATGAATTCCAACACTGCCAGTAGGGMAAGTCCATCCTGCTACATGCAGTGTGCTGCATGAATGGGAGGCACACCACACCAGGGTCTGCACTCCGTCTCTGCACACTCAAACCCTTGTAGCTCTCCTCCTACGCAATGTCTGCTTTCCCTGCCAGCTCATGGGAAAAGAGACTGGGCTAATGATGACCTCAGCATGGCTGGATCACAGGCTACCCAGGCCCAGGGACTTCTCCAGTAGTAACTTGTCCTTCCTGGAGATTAGCTAAAGGTTCCAGGTACCACCAAGACAGCTTGGGCAACCAACCCCTCTGCTGCCAGTTTTGTCCTGCCCAGCTCTTTCTCCCTGCCATGGCCCTTGAGCTGCAGCCTTTGCTGTCTTAGTGACAACCTCCCTTCTCTCTTACATTGCCACCTGCTATCCAAGACAGCAGGTCACCACTTGCAGTCAAAGCCTTTCTGTGAACAAGGTCCTTTTCACAGGATTCCTGGTGCAAGATGTTCAGCTGTAGGCTCAAGCCAAAATGCATTTCAAGAGATGCAGCCTGGGGTGCAGCCAGTGCACATGGAGATGCCCAAGGAGCCACAGGGCTGCCTTGTGGTTGAAAGAACTCAGATGTAGGGCATGAGTAACGTGACTAGTGTCCTTTAATGTCACAGCACAATTTCTTCAGGAGAGCAGCAGAGAAAATGAGGAGCAGGACCTGTGAATGAAGGGCAATATACATAAGTTTTCTCTGGAGAAGAGAAGACTGAGAGGAGATCTGATTAACATGTATAAGTACATGAACGGGGAATGCCGAGAGGAAGTGACCAAGCTCTTCTCAGTGGTGGCCAGTGATAGGACCGGGGCAATGGGTGTAAATTGAAACACAGGAAATTCAATCTCCCTATGAGGAAGAACTTCTTCACTGTGAGGGTGACAGAGCCCTGGAACAGGCTGCCCAGGGAGGTTGTGGTGTCTCCTTTTCTGGAGGTCTTCAAAACCCACCTGCATGTGACTCTGTGCCACATGCTGTAGGTGTCCCTGCTGGAGCTGGGGGATTGGCTAGATGATTTCTAAAGGTCTGTTCCTCCTTCTACAGGTCCCGTCTCCTCCTCTCCAACCTGCCCAGGTTGCCCTCATGGAGGCAGCTATATAAGATAGTTGAGACAGAGCAGAGCTCCTGCCTTGACAGTTGCCTGGTGAGGAGGCTCCAGCGGTGCCAGGCTCAGTCTGGAGGTGCTGGCCCTGTGCCGGTGCAGCCAACACCTCTCCTGGTAGCCCTCTCTGTCCCAGAGATGCCAGCTCCTGTCCTGGAGCTTGTCCCTCTCCTTGAAGTGCCAAACCCTGTCCCAGAGATGTCAGCTCCGGTCCTGGAGGTGCCAGTCTCCATCCCATCTGTCCCAGACCCCTGACATACAAGGTACAGCACCTCCATTGGGAGTACATGCCGCAATCCTGGTGGTGCCACCCACTGTCCCTTCTGTGCCCACATTCTTCCCAGCAGTGACAACAGAGGTGTTCTAACCCCTGTCCCTGTTGTGCCTCGGCATGTTGTGGCAAGGGACATGGGCCCAGTGTTTTCTGCGCCTCTTCAGGGAAGGGGACAGGGCTGGAGATGCTAACAACCTGCAGCTGCAGAAAGACAGGACACATGCCTACAAGTGCATGAGCTGCAGCCACCACTACCTTGATGTCCCCTCCTTCTGACTCATCATGGTGTTTTGAATGGTTCAGGCTGTGGTCAAGTGTGTCCTTAGATGCAGACGAGCATATGACCTGTAAGGTGTCCTGAACTGCTCTTGCAGCTCCCTCCCTTTCCTTGCAAGGGCCCATTTGTGGGTGTCTGCCAACAGTTTTGTCATAAGGGAGACTGTCCCAGGTAGGTTCTACTTGACCATTCACCATGATCATGATCACAGAGGACCCCCAAGTGAGAGCTGAATCAAACCCTCATTCCAAACACATCACCCCACACACTCATTGCTTCCAGCCTTTGAAGACCCTGGGAACAGTAACTGACCTTTCCAGGGCGAAAGTCCTGGAGGAAATTCTTGGCTCCAGTTTTGGAAGAAGAGCCCAGGCCGCAAGCACTACACTGAGAAAATCACCCTTTATTAGTGGGAAGAGAGCTCTGGCACTGATAGACATAGTGATGGAAGGCCTCAGGGTTAGACAAGGCTAACAACTCTGGAGAAATCCCAAATGCAACTCTTGGTCTCTAAAGAGAGCATTGCACAATTATTAGCTTTTTGCCCTGGAACTCATGGAGAAGCCTGTTCAGCAGGCCCTTCTGAGGTGCAATTTCCTAGGCATGTTCTTGACACCAGCTTCACAAGAAAGGATGCAGAGGGTAGAACCTACTGTATTACAGAGACACAGTGAAGGGGCCCAATCGTATATACAGCATTTGATACAGTTTAAGGTACCAGGGAAGAAAGAGAAGTCTCGGTAACAGTGGAATGAGTACAACTACTTCAAAAAAAAAAAAAAAAAAAAAAAAAAGATAATGTATATACTACAAATATACTACAAAAAAAAAGAAAAGTCATAACAAACAGAACATGAAGGAACAATGCTCAGTCCACTTACAGATACAGAAGGAGTCATTTGTGGACAGAGATGGCAATGTTAGCACTACTGAAAAAAGGTGTAAGAAATCCCTTTCCTCAGGGCAATCTTGAGCTCCTTATTCCTTATGCTGTAGATGAGGGGGTTCAGTGTTGGAGACACCACCGAATATAGAACAGTGACCACTAGATTCAGAAGTGGAGAGGAGATTGAGGGAGGCTTCAAGTAGGCAAAAAATACAGTGCTGATAAAGAGGAAGACCACGGCCAGGTGCGGGAGGCACATGGAAAAGACTCTGTGGCGGCCCTGCTCAGAGTGCATCCTCAGCACAGCCCTGAAGATCTGCACATAGGACACCACAATGAAAATAAAACACCCAAAGAATATACTTGCAGCAATCACAGTAACCTTGAATTCCCTGAGGTAGGAGTGTGWGCAGGAGAGCTTGAGGATCTGGGGGATCTCACAGAAGAACTGATCCACCTCATTGCCTTCACACAGTGGAATGGAAAAGGTGTTCCCGGTTTGAAGAAGAGCATAGCAAAACCCAGAAACCCAGGCAGCTGCTGCCATCTGGACACAAGCTCTGCTGCTCAGGAGGCTCCCATAGTGCAGGGGTCTGCAGATGGCCACAAAGCGGTCATAGGCCATCACTGTGAGGAGAGAAAACTCCCCTCCAAAGAAGAAAATCAAAAGGAAGACCTGGGCAGCACATCCCAGAAAGGAAATGGCCCTGTTGTCCCAGAGGGAGTTGGCCATGGATTTGGGGACAGTGGTGGAAATGGAGCCCAGATCAAAGAGGGAAAGGTTGAGGAGAAAGAAGTACATGGGGGTGTGGAGGCGGTGGTCGCAGGCTATAGCTGTGATGATGAGGCCGTTGCCCATGAGGGCAGCCAGGTAGATGCCCAAGAAGAGTGAGAAGTGCAGGATCTGCAGCTCCCATCTGTCTGTAAATGCAAGGAGCAGGAACTCATTGAAGGAGCTGCTGTTGGACATTTTCACCTCTCCAGGCATTTGGGGACTGTAGAAACAGGAAGAYAGTGACAAGTCAGGAGACAYCTTTCTTATCAATACTCTTTCCCTTTCTCACACCCTCTTCTGCCTATGTGGACACACATGCCTTTTGGCAAGACCTTAGCTCAGCTCCCTGTCTGGAGCTCCAGGTCACACCAGCATCCAGCTCTACCATGAGCAACAGGAACTTCTGTCTATTGACTCCAGGGAGGTTAGTCCTGCTATAATAAAAGGCAGTTCAGTGTTTTCACAGTCAGTTATGAAGTATTGTGGCCACAAAAACAAATACCTCTCCAGCTATGTCACACTCCTAAACACCCAATGCCTGTGCTGATACTGGTCTCTACTTGTAAGATGCAGCTTTCCAAACTCACCTCACTTTCTCAGCTCTGATCTCCCAAGAGTGATGCAGAGAGTGCAACAGTGCACATGGCTCCAATGATCAGAACAAGGACCCYGTATCGCGGTTCTGGTAGGGACACGGAACTCAGGACTGAGTTTCTACACAAAGACACACAGTGTTTAGCCTGGCTGCTCACATACAGTCACCCCCAGCAGCATCTCCATTTCCCTGGAACCTCTGTGGTTTCTGCATGACACATTCAGCCATAACAAATGTCCTAAGGAAGAGCTGTGCCCCACTGCAGGGCAACAAACATCCTAGCAGCAGAGTCCAGCAGGGCCAAGGGTCTTACAGGTGGCATATCCTGAAAAGACGATCAGCTGCTTCCCCTGACCCACGGACTGGGCTGCTTTGAGCCCCAACGGCAAGAAGGGATCCTCGTCCTCTCCCTCCATTGGGAGGCACCTCTGCAGCAGGAACCAAAGCTCTGGGTCAGACTCTCAAGCTGCAAAGTAACTCCCGAGAAGGCCGGAGAACAGGAACAAGGGCAGTCCAGCCTGGGAGGGAAACAAGCAGCAACACCTTGGTGCTTCTGCATGTGCTGGCAAAAGCAACAGCAGAGAGGCACACTGGGGATGGCCTTCCCTAACCCAGCTGTGCACAGCAGCTCCTGCATGGAAACATCACAGTGGGGTTGTTTCCAGCCCCTTTGTCTTGGTTTAGGAAATGGAGAGCTGGAAGGAGAGCTGCTGCTCTCCTCTTTTGGGGCTCTGSYTGCCAAAAACAKGCCTTATGTCCTCCATCCCATAGCCTGGAGGCAGAGRCTCTGCTGGGTGTCAGAGGAAGGGTGAAGGGTGCTTGTGGAGGAGAAAGTATCTGCTCTGCAGGGACAGGCAAAGAACTTCCTGCACCCCAACCTTGCAKGAGGATTTGGAAGCAAGTTCTTCKTCCCTCAGATCACATCTCTGCTGCTTGGAGATGTCCTTGCTGAGGGCTCTATCCCTGTCCTCACCACAAACACCTGCCCACCTGCTGGGCATTCAGCTCAGCCATACAGAAAGCTTCAGCAAAGGCCAGGAAGCACCTGGGGACATCTCCCTGTTTGCAGGTGCTACAGAGCACATCAGAGAGTCTCTGAAAGAAAGTGGCAAGGGGATGTCGGTGCTGTGTGCAGGCTGAAAGTTGCTGAAGGCACTTGGTGAGGTTCCTTGCAAACCTCTCCAAGATTCACAGTGGTGACAAAGATCATGTGCTCCTTTCTTAAACCTCTCTGCTGCATTTCCATTCCCACCATGCACACACAGGTCTACAGGAGTGGAAAACTCCACTATCAAAATGTCCTCCTGGTGAGATAGAGCTGTGGGCAGTCCTGAGCCACGCAGCAGCATCTCAGCACCAACAGGAACCTGCCCTGACAGGGGTCGACCCTCTCACCCAGAGCTTCTCCCCACAGTGTCCTGGGGAGCTCCCGCGCAGCCTGAGTGCTGACCCGCACAGGCGGCACAGTCACTGCCCCGGGCACACAGCACCATTGGGTGCAGGGACACGGCTCTGGATTAGAGCTCAGGCAGGACACTGTGCACACGCGAGCTTCACATCCCTGCAGCTGCCATGGGTGAAGCTAGGAGGATGCCCTGTCCCTGTGACAGTGTGGTAGGAATCCCTGCTCTGAAGCATCTCGTCCTCTACACTGCTCGAGTCAAGAGAGCGAGTGTTGAAAAAGGAATAAATCCCCCCAAGACAGAGCTCGGTTGAGCACACCCTTCAGCAAAGTCAGTAGCCAGGTCCTGCAGCCAGAGACTCACCGTGCCGAGAGCTGGCAAGATTCCTCCCACCAAACGCTCTCTGTGCTCCCGCTCCACACTGCCCTTCACCTCTCGCTGCCTTCTCTCCTCTGCTGTGCGCAGCAGCAGGCAGTGCCCGCAGCCCTGCTGCTCTTGGCACAGCAGCTGCTCCTGCACACAGTGTCTCTGGGCAGGGCTCACAGGTTGTCACGAGCTGCCTGCGTCCCAGGAGCCTGGCCCCACTCAGGAGCAGAGGCCCAGCTGAACTCACCGATTGCCCTGTCCCTTGACTCCCCTCCACTTGGGATATGGGCATGAAGGAAACTAAAAGAATCACACCTGTGGTCCTGTCCTAATGAGTGGAGAAAGAAGGATTCCAAAATTGCAGTCTATTTCATCAGAGGATGACTATCCCTGTAAGTTAGAAATGTCCCACTCTGGAAGGCCACACTTAGGAAGACCCTATTAGGCAGGACAACCAGAAAGGGGCAAAAAGGGGGCTCTTGGATTCAGATGAGTCAATCTGGACATTACATGCTGGTTGAGAAGCCCCTGCTCTGTGAACTGCACGAACACACAGAAGGTGGGATGCTGCTCGCCCATGCTGAAGTGTGCAGAGCACTGACATGTGCATGGGAGCTCCTTCTCTAGGCTCCCCTTGTAATCACTGGTGATGGAGGTTCCGAGTCAGCGGACAATACCCAACGACCTGCTTGCAGAGACAGAGCAGACAGACAAAGGTCCCCCTGTTTGCTTGCTCTGATGGAGTAAATGTGAGACCCACATCCTCATGGATCTTCAGGAGAAAGTGAGTTGGGGAACGCTTTTCTCCATCTCAAATGACCCCAGATGCTTTCCACTGCTACAGGAACACGTTGTAGTTTAAAAAAGAAGCCCTGGCAGACTACTGCAGTGCAAAAAGTTAATATAATGTAATGCTGACATTTGATTCAGTATCATAGAAATAGGCTGCAGGGCCAAGGCAGATGCCTGCATTGCCCAGCATAACCAAATGTCTCCTCCAGGACACACAACATGGAATCTATGGGAAACCATGTTCGTTTGGAGTCATTTCTGGGCAAGAATTCCACGGCATCTCAGATTTCCTATCAGTGCCCAAACAACTGCATGCTTCCACTGCCTTTAGGCCAAGTCCATCCCTCCTACAGCTGCACATGCTTCATAAAGCGGAGAGGCACATCACACCATGGGCTCTGCTCTACTCTCTGCACTCGGAAACCCTCCTAATTCTCCTCGTTCTCAATGTCTGCTTTCTTAACCCGAGGATATTAACAGGGAGGCTAATGATGGTCTCAGGATGTCAGAATCATGGGCTATCAGGCACTGCATATTTTGCTCCATTAGTGGGAACCTCCGTTCTGTACTTACTGAATCAATCTGTACTTACTGCACTAGTACAGATTAGCTGTTGACCTGATTAAAATCAGCTCCACAGAGAGGGACCTGGGAGTAGTAGTTGACAAAAAGGTGACCCTGAGCCATCAATGTGCCCTAGTGGCCAAGAAGGCCAATGGGATCCCGGCCTGCATTAGGAGGAGGGTGTACAGCAGGTTGAAAGAGGGGCTCTTGATGCTCTACTCAACTCTGAAGAGGCCCCATCTGGAGCTTTGGGTGCAGCTCTGGGCTCTGCAGTGCAAGGAGGACGTGGATCTTCTAGAAAAGGTTCAGTGTAGAGTAACAAAATTGATTAAGAGTCTGGAGCATCTACCATATGAGGAAAGACTATGTGAGCTGGGCTTGTTTAGCCTGGAGAAGAGAAGATTGAGAAGGGAACTGATCAATATGTACAAAATCCTGAGGGGAGAATATAAATAGGATGGGACAAGAATCTTCCCAGTGATGGCCAGAGACAGAAAAAGGAGTAAAGAGTATAAAATAAAACCCAGGGAATTCCATCTCCTTTTAAAAAAAATTTTACCATTAGGCAGACAGCACTGGAACAGGCTACGCAGATATGTTTTGGAGTCTCCTTCCCTGGAGAGCTTCAAAACCTGCCTGGATGTGAGCCTATTCTATGTACTCAAGTAGGCCTCCCTGCTTGAGCAGAGGGATTGGACTAGATGATCTCTAGAGGTCCCTTCCAAACTCAGTTATGATCCTGTGAACTTGCAGCTGGAGATAATGTGCATGGTTTCCCTTACCATGGTCTGGCATGGCTTTCACATTCCTCTCTTGAACAAACACACAGAAGGTGGGATGCTGCTCGCCAGTGCTGAGGTGTGCACAGCACTGACGTGAATGGGAGCCACTTCTCTAAGCTCCCCTTGTAATTACTGGTGATGGAGGGCGCGAGTCAGCAGACAACACCCAAACATCTGCTTGAAGAGACGGAGGAGAGACCACAAAGTTGCCCCTGTTTGCTTGCCCTCACGGAGCAAATGTGAGACCAACATCCTCATGGATCTTCAGGAGAAAGTGAGTTGGGGAACGCTTTTCTCCATCTCAAATGACCCAATGACCCCAGATGCCTTCCATTTCTATGTGAACACCTTGTAAAAAAAAAAAAAAAAAAAAAAAAAAAAAAAAAAAAGCCCTGTCAGACTACTGCAGTGCAAAAGTTAATATAATGCAGTGCTGACTTTTGATTCAGTATCATAGAAATAGGTCGCGGGGCCAAGGGAGATGCCTGCTTTGTCCGCCATAACCACATGTCTCCTCTAGGACACACAACATGGAATCTGTGGGAAACCATGTCCGTTTGGAGTCACTTCTGGGCAAGAGACACAGACCATCTGAGGCTTCCTACCAGTGCCCAAATAACTG